AGCAAAACAAATCTAGAAGCTGGACAATATGGAGAAAACTACAGCATCAGGATTAGAGAAATGCTCATCAATAATCTGTGATAGGCAGATGACTCATCTCACTTGCTAATAGTGAGAAAGACTTGGAGCATTTACTGAAGGTGACCCAAGACAGTCTTCAGAATGGATGACACATCAGTGTAAAGAAAATATAACTTCTCACAATGGGACAAAAAGCAACATCATGACAGATGGATAAAAGATTAAAGTCGCCAAAGATTTCCTTTTATAGGACCCACAATCAACACTCACTGAGGCAGCAGTCAAAAAATAAAACGACATGTTCCAAAGAGCAAATCTTTAGCATGGATTTCCTTAAAATGCTAAAGAGCAAGGTTGTCACATTAAAGACCCAAGTCATACAGCTGACCCAAGCCAAGTCATTTTCCATTGTTTTATATGCATAATATGAAAGCTGGACGAAGAGTAAAGAAGGGTGAAGAAAAACTCAGGCCTCTGATTTGTGATGATGGTATAGAGTATCCAATCTACCATGGACTGCCAAACGTATGGACAAATCTGTCTTGGAAGACAATAAAGTAGATACTCCTTAGAAGCAAGGATGATAAGACTTCTCACGTATTTTCGTCCTGTTATCGGGAATGGACAGTCCCTAGAAATCAGCTTTATGTTTGGAAAAGTAGGCGGTCAGCAAAACAGAAGAAGGTCCTCAATGAGATGGGGTGACACAGTGACTGCAAGGATGGGCTAATACATGGCAGAGATTGAGAGGATGATGCTGGGATCCAGCAGAGTTTCATTCTGTTGAACAGAGGTGGGACCGGTGTGTTATACAGAACGCCTTCTAACCCAGAGAGTTACCTGTTGGCTCAGTGGTTGAATCCTTGGGCTGCGAACTCGAAGGTTGGTGGCTTGAACCCATTTGCATGTTGGAAGGAAAAAGATGTGAGGTTTACTTCCATAAAGAGGTACAGTCAGAGACCCAACAAGGCAGTTCTGATCTGCCCTACAGGGCTATGGGCTGGCACTGACTTGACGACTGTGGGTCTGGTTCCTTTCTGGTCCATCTTCCAGCTCTTTATGGAAACCACATTTTTTTTTGTGATTCAGGCAGCTGGCCTTGGTTCATTTGGTCGAGTGACACCTGTGTGTCCCTAGTCTACCTCAGCGGGAAGATCCACTGGAATCTGTCCACCCTGCTGGTGTCTGAGATACCACAAGCACGGCTTCCATCATCGCAGCAACACACACAACACCACAGTGTGACAAAGTGACAGGCAGGGAACTGGCATACGGCTGACCTAATTATCCTGAGCTGACACTTGGAAGCAGCTCTATTTAACGCTTGGAAACATCCTTGGCTCTTTACCCTGGTGGAAAAGACTGCACCTTTCTAAATTGCCTAGTTGTTAGTTTTGGCTTCTTGCTTTTAAAGAATCTATTCAAATCAAAAAGCTTTACCTCAGCCTCTACTGTCTACTGTTGTCTACACAAGAACAACAACAACAAATTAAAAAGCTGTTCCTATTTCAGAGCTAGAAATGTATGCTTTTGAAGTATTAATAAAATGTTTGAAAAAATATTTATTTCCTCCTTAGTGTTCAAATCAATTAGAGTAGAAACTCTATTAACAGATAGATCAGATTGGGGCGGGGAAGGCCCACCTATACTTATATGTTGGGTTACTGGCTCAAAATGGGAGCAGATCACTCCACTCTATGTTTCCCATTACCTTGTTCAAAGTGGCTTTATGGGCAATTATGATTTGCCAAATTGGCTCTTGATCAAACTTCCCTGGCACACAAATGACCAAAGAGCTCACTCTCCTATTAGCAGCCTCAGCAGGAACCAATGCATGAATGAACGCTGAGAGGCCAACCAGAGCTGTGTCCAGGCCAAAGGCTTGCTTTAGAAGTGCCAGAGAGTTGTGTCCAGTGTCAGATAAGAAATACTTCAATTGTAGGTAAGAGGACCTTTCTTCCCCCCGACTTTTGCTCTGTGGGTCATTTTAAATAAACAGACTAATTTATAAAAATGGATCCCCCTCTTTACTCCTTCTTTATTTCAACACTGAAACTTAATCTGGATGCAAGGAGTTGAAGATTTGGGAATAAAATATTTCCTTTCAGGACTAAGTGCGACAGGTAATTTTGCTGGTTAAAAAGCAGGGTAGCTGCATTATTTCTGGTCCTATCAGTTGATGTGGGACTTTTTTATAAGGTAGAAGGACAAATTGTAATGCTTCTCACATGCTATGATTAGCCAGAGCATCCTTTAAGAACTTCCTGTCAACACGACCCTACACTGAGGCTACAGAGCCAATGAATTCAGCCATAAAGGACTTCTGTGTCCCCATAATGTGCAGGAGCCAGGCCACTGGCTCATTTATTAGGCTCCCAGGACCCATAGGACAGAACCCATTTCCTTTCACTCCCAGCCAGGTTGGAAATGACCCAGTCATTTAGAAACAAACAGGATGTAAATTGATTTAAAAAAAAAGGCTAGATAATAAAACCTTTCATCCAACAAGGCATGATTTCCCCCTCTTTTTTTCCAAAAAGAGAAAAATAAAATGGAGAACTGAAATAAGATTTAGTAAAGGGTACATTTCTTATAGAGTAAATTGAAAACAAAAACATTCCCTCGATATTTTGATATCACGGCATAAACTTTATCATGAAATAGCTCATTTGACATGTTAAGAACATAATTGAAGTGTACCCCATCCAAGAAACACAAATGCTCTTCAGTGACATCAGCTGAAACACACTGGCTCTTGGTTGTGCGGTTTGTGGGATTTTTTGCAAACCTCCAGAGGGCTCAGTGGTTTTCTGCACGTCTTTGCAGAAAGTGTGCAAAATACAGTCAAACCGTTTGACTGTGGCTCTCATTCACGGAGGGCCTTTTCTTCCCCCCGTGCTGCACAGCACCCCCTTCTCTGGTGCTTTTACTTTTATGCCATGTGTTATAATAGGTAGACATTAGTGTTCACTCAACACTCATCTAGAACCTTGGCATGGATGTTTATGCCCAAAATGACTATAGAGAAAAGAAATGCAGACACCATATGGTGTTATCTTCAATACAGCACACCCAGGTTCACTGTGAGCCTGGGGTTCATTCAAGTGAGATTTAGCAAGTTTTCTGGGAAGGACCAATACAAGGAACATTTTGATGTATGCTTTAATAATGTTTGAAACAGCATTATAAAAGACAAATTGCATTGGGAAAGCCTGCTGTCAGAGACCTCTCCAAAGTACTGAAGAGCAATGATGCCAGTCTGGAGACTAAGGTGTGCCTGATCCAGGCCACAGTCTTTGCAATTACTTGCTATATATCAGAAAGCTGGACAATGACTAGGGTTGACAAAAAGAGAACTGATGCCTCTGAGCTGTGGTGCTGGAGAAGAGTATCAAATATACCATGGACTGCTAGAAGAACAAACAGGTTTGTCCTAGAGAGGGTGAGACCAGGTTGCTCCTTGGAGGTAAGGATTCTGAAGCTTCGTCTGACATACTTTGGACATGTTTCAAGAAGGGACCAGTCCCTGGAGATGGAGGGTGGAAGGGCAGCGCAAGACAGGAAGACCCTTGATGAGATGAATTGATTCAGTGACTTGGGTAATAGGGGTAGGTGTGTCATAGACAATAAGATTGGTACAGGATAGAGCAGGGTTTAGGGCTCTTGTACATAAGGTCGCTATGAGTTACAGGTGACCTGATGGCACATAACAAAACAACATCAATGCTTGAAAGAGCACATTCTTCAAATTCTAATAATCCCAGATGGCCTTCCCTCATCTGACTTCCTTATTTAATTTTCAAACAAAGCAGCTCATAGTCTAAGCATCATCTCTGAAGGACAAAATTTTCTCCTCTATAAGAAAGCTCTACTGGTAAAGAGTTGCACTGCCAACCGAAAGGCACGCAGTTCAATCTACCAGCTGACTCAGGAGAAGGATGGGCCATCTCCTCTCATGTCTCTGAAAACCCCTGGAGGGTCAGTTATGAATCATTTCTGACTCATAGTACCTAACAAAAGTAACAGTTAAGAGATCTCTTGTGACATAATCCCTAGGGAGTTTCTCTGCTAACACAAAGGTCCCACCTCTCTGGCAGTTCAAATCTACCAGCTATTCCTTGAGAGAAAAATAAGCAATCTCCTCCTATTCTGCATCAACAGCCTTGAAAACCCAATGGAGGGTCAAGGAGGAATCTGTTTCAATTCAATAGCAATGAGTTAGCTTATAAACTTATGGCTGATCTGAGTACGTTTTTAATTATACTCAGCCCTCTTTGAACCATGTATTCAAGTGAAATAAGTGCCTTGTGTATGGTTGGGACAGAGTCTGGGAGGAGGTTGGTTTAAAGGAAACACATGGCGACAGGAGCCTGGAGGTCTGGGTCTGACCTTGCCAGGCAGCTCCCCAGAGACATGCTGGAGACTAACCAGGCCAGGGCTGACAGGCTACGAGATGGATATACTGTGCACACTTCCATTCTATTCTCTTTGTTCTATATTTAATTTCCAAAGAAATGACAAGAACTGAAAAAGTCAAGTAAAATCATTTTTAAATTAAAGCAAAACAACTTACACTTGCAATGAGGCATTTCAGACAGAAGCTGGATAAATAATGTGGCGATGCTCTGGCATGATCAGAGAATCCTGATCAAATTGTTAGATCGTCAATCTAATAGCCAACTACATGCTCCCAGCATTAGGGTAAAGGTGTCTTTCCCTCAAAAGGAAAAATATAAGTCCCTATTTTTAAGACTGAACTGAAGAAACTGTTACAGAAAAAGAAAGATCTTTACATAATTTTTTAAGAGCTTAGGGATATTTTTATCCTGAATTACATTTGTAAAAGGACATTAGAATCTTTCTAGATTCTAAATTCTTAACCCTACATTTCCTGAAAAGCTCTGAGAATGAGCAAGTAGCTTGGTTTCCTCATTCTGCACTGAGATATGGGAAAGATGAGGGGTTCAAAGGCACAGTACCTTCTTCTGTCTGCTCTCGGCAGCAGCCAGCTGTGTGGACATCCGTTCCTGCATTTTCCTGCAGTGGGCCATGACAGCTTCAAGGATAGAGAGGGGGTTGGTACAAACGGGCTTCTTCTCTTTATCCCCAGCACCTGCCTCATAGTCTCTCTGCAAGGCCAGGAATGGATCATTCAAGTTATATCTCCCATATCGCTCCTGGATGAAGACCTCCTTTCGGCGAGCCTAGGAGAAAACAGAGGTGTGCATCAAAAAAAGTCATGAAACCGTGTGGAGAGCTGCTGGGAAGAACACTGTGTGATTACACTTCTAAATGGCATTCACAACTTCACTGTTATGTGTAATGTCTTAAGACACTGGGCCAAGAGCAAGAAGAAGGTGACTCCCACTTCTCAACAGTCTGGCATGCAGTCAGTCTACTTCTAACTGCTTCCTCTTTAACAACCCAGCTACTCATGGTAGTGGCCGACTCAGGTGACCCCACGCGTGTCAGAGGAGAACAGTGCTCTGTGGGGGTTCTGTGGCTGAATTACTTTGAAAGTGGGTCTCCATCCAGGCTTTTTCCCCCAAAATGCCTTGGAATAGCGCAAAAGTGCATTACTCAGGAGAAACTGTCTTTTCAATGAAATATTT